GCCTTTCTCCACAGCTACCCAAGAGGTCCCATTCATTCCATTCAGTGGTTCTCTGCAATTTCTCCCCCAGGCAGAGGCTACCAACCCCGTCCCAGTCCTGTGACAGAGAACAGCATGCACGAGGGACACCAACACCATCAAGCCTTCTTCATTCATGACCTAAGGTTGGTCTCAAACCAAGCTTTCAGGACAAAAGGCTGGCAAGACCAACTCATTGCCACACTTGGAGCTGGCCTGAGAAGGCAAAAATCCTCCCAGCCCGTGCAACTTGCAAGAAAGAATTAAACACAGTAAGATAAAATTAAGCAATGGTATAATTTACTGCTCAGAATTTACTAATATGCAACCTAGGAAGAGCACCAAGGGCTATAAACATTTCAAGACACTTCACTGTGTTTTATCACTATATTAGAGAGTACTTGCCTTTTAACACTTATTTAAGAAAATAAAAAACTTCTGAGCGGTAGTTTCCTGTAAAGACATAAATTAGCATGTTCTGATCAGCCACAATAAGTGCAGTATAAGCATCTTCATGTTGAAGGAATACAGATGAAAGCCTACACTCATGTTTACCTATGTTCAATATGTTTGCAGAATGATCCAAAACTGGAAGAAGGAGGATTAACTGATGGGTCTTGACGTGGAGATGCAGGTCTGAGATTCAGCACATGTGACTTCAGCTCCTTCCTCTGCCTCTGGCTGCCTGCACAACCACAGGCATATCACCTAACCTCACCGCAGCTCAGCTCTGCAGCTATCAACACACAGGAGAAACGCTTCTGTGGTTGCCAAGATTAATTCACGTTGCGCTCAAGAGCAGGTAAACCGGTTCCATACACGGAAAGGAGGCAATTTGACATTTCAGAGGAGATAAACCACACTAAAGAGCTCATATTACAAGGGCTCAACCCTGGCAGACACCGAGTACCCTCTTTCCACTAAAACCATCTCCGGCCATCAGCGGCTCCCTCAGCCCTTCCGAGGCAACGTTACCCTCACCACCCAATGCCGCATCAATGCAATTTGCTTAATCACTCGTGACAGTTCCATCCTAGGTGCAGGATGAGGTCCCAGCACCACAGCAGACTACACCAGGCGTCTGAATCCGGCCCTGAAGCTGTTAAACTTGGAGGATAGCTCCTTGCAACAGGCTAAAGGAATCCTCCCGCTGAGCACTGGGAGGCCTGAGGACCGTGTGCCTAACGAGGCTGTATCCCCACTCATATTTTAGCTTGGCAGGTCTGGTGCTCCTTTCATCTTTTGCTTCAGGTAGCTCTCTTTAATTAATAACATTTCTGTGTCGACACAGAGAACTTTCCACCCAGAATGAATGGCCCTCTCTCATTAGAACCACAACTTGTCATGATGTATTCAAGAGCAGGAGTGTGATTCATTCCCTTGTCTGGGAACGAGGGGTGTTGCTGGGGGGTGGGGGGGAGAAGAGTCTCTGTAATGAGTGACTGATATTTGCTGAAGTTGATATGCGACTCTGTCGGCTTGAACTGCCTTGTCAGGACAAGCCTTCAGAAAGGTGATGTTCCTACTCAAGAGGTTTTCCTCATTAAAGAAATTGCATCTTAACAAGAGGGAAGGGGAGGGGCGGCAGGAGAGCTGCTGTCTCCCTGACTCCAGCCTGGTTCACACGCACCGAGCGCAGGGAGCCGCTTCATCCAAGCGCAGCCAGTAGAGGATCTGTGCTCCATTTCTGAGCTCTCTCGCACAACAGTCTCTCTCCAGCAGCAACCACATCCCTTCCACAGGACTCTCCTGATGATGATGCACCACACCCATGACTTTGGTGCATGGCTGAGGACCTTGACTCATGCTGAACCTCCACAAGCCCTTGCCAGATACTTGGTGTCCCCTTTTGTGCACCCAGCTCCTTGTAAGTAGTGCTCCCCGTTGCCAGAGGGAAGCCAGAAAGCTCCAACCTTCAAGACAAATCAGGTCTGCAGCCCCACAGATTCTCACTCCCTGAAGATCCCCGACCCAAGCAGAGGCTTCACAGGTCCTTTAGCAGTTGAGTTTCCATCTTGAATCCTGCAGCCTCAGATAGTGCTAGACACCATCAGCAGAAAGCAGGTCTTTGACAATCGCTATTCCTCTGGTGCTTCTCTTTGAGCTAGGAGTGCTACACATATTGCAACTCCTGGCTTTGAGAGGGCAATTTGCACACCTTGTTCCCACATCCACCACTAAAGGCCTGTAGATTCCTCCTCTTTGCTCCAGCCACCTCCCTCCATCTTGCTCACCCCACCGTGCCTCCCAGGGACACCCACTGGAAACAACCACAGTAGACAGGCTTGTCCAGAAGACACCACACCTCATCTCTTCAACAGCACAAGCAGACAGAAGCTGAACTAAATGCCCAGGTCATTGCAGAAGAAGCCAGGAACAAAGCTGCATGGCTTCCCATCAACAGCTAAGCTAAGGAGAACAGAGGACAGGAACTTCACACCACAGGAGACACTGAGTAAGACCACCACAGCTTGCTCTTCAGGCAGCTGTGCAAGGAGCTGTCATCACTAAGGAAGTGGAGAAAACGAGCAGCAGAGCTGGGAATGGACCTGCCCCAAATCACTGGTCCCTAAGCCAGAAGCACTGCACTCACCGCATTGTCCTGAATGTCTCTGGAACCCAGTGGGGTTTCTATCATGCAATGCTTCCACCACCACACTCCTCCAAACGTGGACAAGCAGCACCATCTCCCTTTTCCCAGTGCCCTGGTGCCTTCCATGCCCAGCATGTGGTCCTACACGGTAGCAAAGGACACCAGTAACACCGCAAGTCTTGTAGGGAAGCACGGGGTGATTCCCTGGATGGAAATCCTAGATGTTCCACGTCTCTGAGGCTCTATCTCCCTATCTCAGCGGCCTTGTATCAGCTCTCTGCCTTCCCTCTTTAAAAAGAGATGCTCAGTTCTGCTTTGCTAAACCCTATTTGGCAATGTGTCTAAACACACGCAAACTTAATTAGTTCAGGAGGGAGACTCGGCATTTGCGGTGACGGATAAAAGTAATGGGAAATGAGACAAGTCAGAGCTGGCAGGGAGTCCTCACTCAAGCCTCATTCACTGGCACGGCGCTAATCAGATGTGACGCTACAGGCGGCTGCACCCAATCGGCGACGGAGCGGCGTGATGTGCTCCTCACCGCGCGGCTGCAGCCAGGCTCCCGCTACCCATGTGCTTGGAAAGACGAAATGTATTTTCTGCTTTGCCCTGGAGACGCTTCAGGATTGAATTCTGAAGTTAATGGTTTAAAAAAAATTTTTTAAAAGGAAGAGGGAGGAATGAACCACTCGCTGCAACCTCATGGCCAGGAGTGGAGTCTTCTTTTCCAGCTGACTAGTGAGGCACAATCCATGCGAGAAACCGCTGCAAATGGTGAATCGAGTATCTCTGCTCCAGAACCACATGTCCCGCTGCACCAGCTCACCCCACAACCCCTATGGCTCACCAGATATAGGGCTCATCTTCACCTCTATTTCCCCGTTGTAGAGCTCTGAAACAAAATAAAAACCCCAACACCTAGAAGGTTGCCCATTCCATTCAGACAGCAAGTTAGGACATCATTATCTGGAAACCTTGTTGTCCTGCTGTGAAAGGGATTGAAGGATGGACTGTGAGCACAGACAGCTCTGATCCTCAGAACCATCACCAAAACCAGTAATCTGGACTCTCAGAACAGCAATACAGGAGTAAAGAACTGAGAAAAGAGAACAGATGAGAAACAGGAGTTTAGCACATCCCTGCAGCTGTCTTCATCGTGCTGGTCTCTAATAAAAGTTTAAACATAATGTATAAAGAAAACTAAGCCTCACTCTTAATTTAAACCAGTAACACAAGAATTGGCAATATACACCACCTCTGGACACAGCTCCAGCAGAGACTTAGATTTTTGACTCAAAAGCTTGCAATACCACACTCCTGTCTGGAGCATGGCAAATTTCTCATCTCCAGTAGCGCTTGTGCTGCTTCTTCGGTCCTCGTATCTCATGTCTCACTAATCACACCAAGAAGAGGCAAGGAGCTGCCACTCAACAAAGACCATTCTGCAGGGAAGAACTGGTGTTGATTGCTCCCAGGCTGTGTGCAGTTTATTTAGGCTTCTGACTTGGGGAAACCAATGTCACAGTGAAACCCAAGTAACACTACTAACGAGTTGTGGATGTCAGTTTAGCATTGGATGTGTCAAGTCCATGCTTTACCGGTGTGATAACAACAGGAGTCTTTATCCAGCACTCTGAGGAAATGAAAAGCTGACGCGAGATTATAGGAATCCAAGTGAATACAGCAAAATATGACACTGATCTGCAAACACCTTACAGATTAAACTAATCTAATTCTTAGACATTTAACTCATTTTTTTTTAACAAATATTTTTAGTTTGGTGGTCTAGTTACTTTCGTAACAAAACACGCACATAGACTGAGATGTGCGGGTCCCAGTGCAGGTCCCCATCTGGTACTCTCTAGATACAGTCTCCCAGCTGATGAAGATAACCTTAACGACAAGAACACCAATGAAACATGCCAGACATGGCTTGTACTCTCTTTCCAAAGACACTGTGATTCACATCCACTTAGTGTGCCAAAATGACAGAGAGAAAGCCTTGCATGCCTAAGTCAGGTAAGGATCATTGCTTTATTTGGGTGTACAGAAACAGAGCTCCATGTGTGCACTCAGAAATATCTGTCCCTTTGGAAAGTATATTGAATAAAGGGAAAACATCCCAATGCTCCAGTTTAAACCTTTCTTGGGGTTCTGAAAGGATTCATTCACTATAGGGAATATCCCAGGCAGTGATCTTGCACTGTGCCCAGCACCTACCTGTCTTCTTAAAGAACCCTCCACTCCCAATTATGCACGGCAAACAACTATTTCCCTAAGAAACAAAGACTAGGGACAGTCAGATGCTTGTAAGGACAAAGATATATACACTACAGGCAAGCAGGGAGCAATAAAGCCAAGAAAAATCTCCCTCCCCTTCCATACTCACATCACTTTCAAATCCCAGTCTCCACAGGTCACAAAAATCGACTTGACGCTGGGATCTAAGAGGCCTTCCTTCGCCATCCACTCGTCAACCCTCTGAAAGGAAGGCAAGAAAAGGGGATGAGTTTTGCAGAGACAGGCCGAGCCACAACGGTTAAACTCAGATAAGCTGCTTGCAATCAAGAGAGAAGAAAATTGTGATCTTATCCACCCTCTCCCTCTCTCTCTTCTCTCTTTGCTTGCCATCTCAACAACAGCACGTTTGGACCTTTGAAGATTTCTGATAGGAGACATCAGGCAACCAGAGCAGAGATGATCTTATCAGACACCGCAGCAGCTCTGCTCATGGAGGGATGGAAGTTGTGCAGCGTTAACGGGACAATACAACTGCACTGTTACCTGCCCTTCCTCCTCCACTTTTCCTCCCCCTGCACCAACTGGGCTCGCAGTGAGCAGAACTTGTGTCCCCTGCAGTGAGGAGAAAACACGGGCATCCTGGGTCGGCATCTCTCACGTGCTCCAGTTCATACAGCTTCATACAGAGGATATGGGAGAGAGGGAGAAATGGAAGGGCTGGGGACACACAGGCACTGCGTGGCAGTCACAAGCAAAGCCATGTGCCCCTTCCTCTCCAGGCTGTGTCTCTCTTTCCTTACAGTGCTGAGAAGGTGCTTGTTCAGGGTACAGTGTGGATTGAATCCACTATTCCTGATCAACTTGCCATAGGGACAGATGTTCGGGATCCACTTCAGAAATGGGCCACGTTAATCTGAAGGATGCACACCCACCTCAGGAAATAACCAGGAAGAACTAACCTAGACTAAACCCCCTGCAGAGACATTTATTCCAGCTAGAACTAGCAAACCAGATGCCCAAAATCTTTTGGTGGCAGGTGACAGGCAATCAGCTGCTATTATGCAGCCTCACTAGAAGCGTTTCCAGTGCTTCAGCAAGAGAAATCCCTCCTCTTTCCCCTCACTTGACACCTTCTGCTCCTGAATAACCTAGCATGGCCCAGAAGCTGCCTGACCCAGATCTCATTTTAGCCTAGAAACATGCTGCTGTATGAACCTTTTCAGTCCAAACCAAAAAAAAAATAATAAATACATCTACAGAAACGTCTCCACACTTTAAGAAGCTCCTGTAGAAACAGAATGAACCGTTTTCTGTAATATTCCAGTGGCGATGTACATTCACCCATCCAAGTCTTATGAAGAGAGGCTGAGGGAGCTGGGGTTATTCAGCCTGGAGAAGAGAAGGCTGAGGGGAGACATTACTGCTCTCTACAACTACCTGAAAGGAGGTTGTAGAGAGGTGGGTTCGGTCTCTTCTCTCAAGTCACAGGCGACAGGACTAGAGGAAACAGCCTCAAGTTGCGCCAGGGGAGGTTCAGGCTGGATATTAGGAAAAATTTTTTCACTGAAAGGGTCATCAGACATTGGAATGGGCTGCCCAGGGAGGTGGTTGAGGCACCATCCCTGGAGGTGTTCAAAAGACGGGTTGATGTAGTGCTGGGAGGTATGGTTTAGTGATGGTGATGCTTCTTGTTTGTTGTGCGGGTGTCTATTTTTGTCAGTTAGGTTGACGGTTGGACAAGATGATCTTTGAGGCCCCTTCCAACCTAGAAGATTCTGTGATTCTGTGATCCAGGCAAAGAGGGCTCTCCCGGCAGGGGAAGCAGGCACAGGCATCCATATGCTTACAGACACGCACCGCTGCCATGTGCTCTCCGGAGAGCACCCGGGAAAGTTGGGGGTTTGCAGGGATGCAAGATGTCACCTCTGCAGAGCACCTCGTGTCACTGCTGCAGCCTTCCCGGCAGAGGACAGCCCTTCTTTCTGCAACCAACTGTACAACAGCCCTTTGGAGTAAAGCTCCCCCCGGGCAGCATCCAGCTGCTCAGCTACACTTCTGGTCCCCTGGGCAGCCAGGATCCCCCCGCCAGCCCCACACAAGGCTCCCCAGGGGGAGGGACAGCAGCAGTAACCTTTCTAAACTCCCCCATGTGAGCGCCCATGAAGCGCTGTCTCCATGGAGGATTTTAAAGCCTTTAATTTGATTTCCTCACATAAGCAATTGTTGCAATTATTCTGATTAGGAACAATTAGGTAACACAGCAGTGGAAATCCTGACAGAGACAATGCATCGAACAGCAACCTGCAGCCTGAGCCAGCTCTGCTTAAGGAGGTTTCCTTCACTATTTGACTACCAACAAAAGCTATTGATGGAGAAATACTTCCAAGCTAATTAAGCCCTAAATGCTGTAGGAATTCAACATTAAGCAGATGGCATTATTAGGGCTATATCTGCATTTGCACATCCTCCAGATTAGATTTTAGAAGCATTTTCTTTCTATAGTACATGTGTTATTGAGCATTTAAATAGGTAGAAAAAATTAATTTAATAAAGTGCTGAGGGAGGAGAAAGAAAAATGAAGGTAGAACCTCCTGGAGCAGTGGTCTTGAGCAACGTCTTGGTGCTTTAAAACTGGCTCAAGTGAGAGTCGCCTTTTCTCCTATCCACTGGCAGGAGTTTGGATATCTTGTCAGCACCCTTGACATGAACAGCTGGAGATGACAGATCAATGGTTCAATACTCTCAGCAGCGTGTCACCAACGTGACAGCAAATGTTATTCTAATGAAGCTGTAATCATAGTCAAATTACGCGGTTCGATTTTCAGCAAGGGGAGGTGCAGGGAAAGAGATGAAGAGGGGACGACAGGACCAGAGGTCAGAGTTCAGGAACTAAAGGTTACTCTGCTTACCTCAAGCACTTGCTGGAGGCTCGGCTGCCCATCCACCATGCCTTGAATAATCCCAGTCAGCTGAAATGAGAGACAAACAGAAAGCAGGCGTCAGAGCAGCACTCAAAAAGATCATTAGAGAGGTCTCCTCTCCTGTCCATCTCGCCGCAACCAAAACACGCTCCTGTGACCCACACGGACATTGCTGAGGAGCCAGCCACAGCAGAGCGACCCTGGCAGCTCCCCAGCCACGGGCAAGGGCACAGCTTCATCCCAAAACCAGAAAGGTAGGGGGGCTCCTACCCACACTATAAAACAGTGAACTCTCAAAGGGGCAGGATGGGCTTGGGGAGCAGTGGTGCCCTCTACTTTGTGTGCCAGCACAATGATTGAACCCCTGCCTTTTTTCAATATACATTTCACCAGGTCTGATATTGCCCTGACTCACACAGGCAGCAGGAACTGCTGGGGTCTCTGATCATTCCCTCACTACCACAGTGACACCCAAACAGCACAGCGTTAGATGAACAGAACAGACCCCAATTCGTAAGTGAGACCCGGAGTGGAGCCTTTCATCCTGCCCTGCACACCCGCTTTTTCGTAGCCCATCACAGTATCTCTCTGCATTTTGAAACTGTATTTAAAACAACTGAACGAAACCTGCAAAAAAAAAAAATCTTCTTCCAGAACCCTGGTCTCCTCTGGTTTTCAGGAGGTTCCTTAGGAACAGGTCCTGCCAACAGATAGTCCTACTGACTGCACCTGGACTGCCTGGCTGTTTAAAGCTAGACACACACATAAAAAGATGCAGTCTCGTGGGCCTCTGCCTGTGTCTGCCCAGGATAGCTTGAGGCACATGGAAAACAGATAATTTTTCTGTCTGCCTTCCAACTGACAAAACTGTCTTTTAACATATTGAATATCGGAGGTCAGTAGCTTGCCATCAATGCACCCAAGTAATTAAAAAAATCATTATTAAAACAAGTGCACACTACAGGATTTCACTTCATGTGGCACTTTCCCGAAGCTACACATCTCACACGTTTTCATAAAATAAAGGTCAAACACAGCCTAGGAGCATGCCCTGCTGCCTGCACGCGCATCCAAGCCTCCTGAAGCCCCAGCATCCAGCGGAGAGGTGCCGACAGCCCCCCCATGGCCCAGGAGTAACTCTTCCACGCAGCCCAGCTCAACCGACTCCTAAAACACAAGCCCTTCTTACAAACCACACAGCTCTGCTTTACTAAATGCACGGCAACTGAAAGAAGCTCAATGGGTTTCTACCTCTTTGTTTCTTTGGCTGCTTGGCTTACAGCACTGAACTCAGAAGAAGGGAGAAAAAAAAAAAAAAAGGAAAAGAAAAAGAGATTAAACTCCAATTAAACTGTAATTACATTTAATGAATACCAAATACCTGACTCACTGAATAAGCCGTAAGTGGAAAGATTATTTTCTCATAGTGACTTCCATGGAATGGTAATATATACCTTTTAGGGGAAGTATTTTAATTTTAAGAATGCAGAGTTCCTCTAGGTGGGTTTCTCAAGTTCATCAAGTCATTATGAGGTAGAATTTTAAGGAAGTGGAGGGACACAGACACTCTTTTATATTCCAGGAACTGTTTTTATATTAATCTGTATTTTAATTGGGTAACAGCTGCTACCTACAGACTTCCCATACGCTGAAAAGCAAATAGATTTGAGAGATTAATGCACAGCTCTTGAGCAGTTTTTAAAGCTCACTGGCTTGCTTTTTGCTTTTCTTGCCATCTTCCTCTCCATGCATTTCCCTGGCAGAGGTGGACAGCTTGCCGACTGCAAAGCGCTGGCTCTGCCTTTCAGAGGGCAGCTCAAATCCAACCTCTGGAAGCGGCTGAAGGATGAGCTTTTGGGAAAGGATGACAGGCAACCTCTTGGTATCACAGCCAGCACTGCCATAAATGGCCTCCACCACTCTGGATATCTTCAGGGTTGCATTTCCTCAGCGCCTCACCCCTGATGGCCATGGTAGAATGGGGTGAAATGGCCTTATCCAGACACTTCCCATCACGGGAAGGGAGGAACGGGAAAGTAGTCCCAGGGGCTGAGTCCCAACAAAGAGTCTCTGCTTGATCTTGCCCAAGGCTCCTTGCCTCCTCCCCTTCATCCGTCCAAGAACACATCACCAAGCACACACGTGTGCAAGATTCACGCTGCAGAAGTCACACACAAAGGGATATACCTGCTCCATTTCAATATAGGTCAGAGAGTGCTCAAAAAGGACCAGATTTCTATACTCTCACCCTTTCTGGTCTCAGTTACGTCCATCTGTAGATGTAGGTGTACGTCCAGTGCATTGGGTCTCTGCAGCGTTATCTGGTCTTGTAGCTTTGATAAAGTATAAAAGCATAAAACTGCACAATTGTAAAGTTTCACTGGCGATCCCAAGAAGCACATGGTACTTGGGAACATAAACAAGCTATAAGGCATTTATCTTTTTCTGCTTTTATTGTCTGTTCCTTCAGGAAAAAAAAAAAAAAAATCAATAAAAATTAATCATAAAAAGAGAGCAAAGTACCATGAAAAAGCCTGTACAAGCACCTTCTGTGTAGAGGGAATCTTTCACATAAGCTCCTGGCATGAATGTTCTCGGACATCAGACAAACCACTTGCATCTTCCAAAAGGGCATGATGAGCTTTATACACCTAACAGCAGCTTTTAACCACTTGCAAGCACTTTCCGCCTTCTCTGTCTAAATGTTCAGCACACCCCTCATCATAACCAAGTCTCATGACCTGTTGTTTTACAGAAGCAGGTCAAGAGATAGGGCACCAGACAAGGGCTACAGACTGAGCCAGCACTGGACGATGTGCTCCTGGCCATTGGTGTGGGGAATTGAAGGAACCTCCTATAGCAAGGGGAAAGTACAGACACACCAAAAGCTAAGAAAAGAGATGCCTTGAGGGTGACCATGAGCTCTCTGCTTGCAGACACCCTTCCCATGTGTGCTCTTCTTCAGGAAGGAAGAGGGATGTGAGGGGTAGCCCAGAGCCAAAAACTGACACTGAGCAACCCCAGTAATCCTCCCACATGCAGTCTATACCAAGCAGTCCTGTTACTTCCCAGCAAAGGCAGCAAGCAGAGTGGAAATCAGCAGCACAGCTCCCGTGTAATGTCAACACCACTGCCTTTCCTACAGAGTTTATCTGGGAAACCATCGTATTTCTACTGCAAGACAGTTTGCTGATTACCTAAGCACTTGTCTCTGGTGTACAATCTGATAATCAGGCCTGGTCTTTCTTTGTAGACAAAGAGGGCAATAAATCTCACCCTTTGTAAGTAGAGGTGCCTAGACAAAGCCCTTTACTGGCATTTAGCAAAATAGGTGTTTTTCAGAAAATATAAACTGGCTGAAAGTCAATGGCAAACACTGGAGGTGTGCAGGCAGCAGCTCTGCAGGAGCTGGACACACAGCACACCCCAGCTGTGTCCTCAGGGTCTCAGGGGAACCTACACCAGCAGCATGGGGCTGATCCCTGCTCCTCCTTGTAGAAGCCACCGACCCTACATGTCTATGTGGCCACCACAGTCTCCCCAGAAGAGTAGCTGCAAATACGAAAGGACAGTTTTGCAACTGTTTTGTAAGGTCCTCAGTACCAGCAGCTCACCTGGGGCTCTTAGGGCAGTGTTTCTAAGTCTGCTCAGATATCCCTGAGCTCAGGGATAAGCTCAGTTAGGCCTCCTGCATGATCCCACTCCTTGGACCTGATGGCAGCCCCTGCAACAGGCAGGGGAGGACCAAGGCAGGAGAGACAGGAGCCATGCTGTGCAGTGAGGTGGCTTCCAGGCTAGGATTAAAACCCTCTCCCTAACCCACACTGCTAATAACAGAGAACTTGCCAAACCTGGCGAGCTGGACCATTTTGTGCCACCACTGACACACTGGTGGGGGTTCTGCGATGGCTTTGCCTGCTGGCCTCAGCAGTGCCCATTTTTATTTCAACTCTGAACACAAGACACCAGACTGAAGCCAGTGGCAGAATCTGCAGTGCAATGCTGCAACTGGGATGCCTGTGCCTGTCCTAGGGACTCCTGCGAACACACAGCCAGCACACACACACACACACACAGGGCCTCGCTTGCTCGAGGGCTCCACACAGGAGACACAAACCTGTAGAGACACAAACAGCTGCTCCAGGCTCCCGTGGGCAAGAGAAGACAGAGAAACCAGCACCACGGTGTGGGAGCATGAGATGGGCTGAACGTCTGTGTCACCCAGAGAACCTCTCCATGTCCCCAGGCTGCAGCAGGCTGGAGGCTCTGCTGGGCTCAGGACAGCCACACCAAGCAAGTCACCCCATCTCTCATGCAACAACAGAGCTGGAGCCTTTAGCAGCAGGGGGGAAGGACACCACAGGAATTTCCAGAAAAAGGTATTTTGGTGGGAGTTAATGAGTGAGACAAATTCTCTCTAGAATTTAAATAACATACAAAGCGGACATTTTGGGCTCTACTCTAGAAGCTGACGTTGCTCTTAACAAAGATCAGGTGCAAGCTGTGAGATTTATCACATTTGTACGAGCATATGTCCAGCAAGTCTCATGGGGATAAGGACAGCCAAAGTAGTTGTCCAGCCTTCTAGTATTAAGGTTGCAAAACTGTTTCCATTATAACCCTCTGTTTTCACACATTTATAGCTTTCTGAAAGCGCCTCACCTGGGAATAATGTTTTCTGTGCTTAGTCTTTTTTTTCTTTTTTTTTTTTTAAGTTTAAATAAAATACCTTCAGCTGGTTTTTAGTTACAAGAGAATGAAAAAAAAAAAAAAGTATTTGTTTTTACAATGTGGAAATATGGAAGGGGCGGGCTGGTCCTGGAGGGGACTCCACCTAACACAGAGGAGTCATTTTTCATCGAGCTGGTACACATGAAACAAGCACTTCAAGGACCTAAACCTGGAGCCACGGAGGTTGGGTAAAACACATCATGGTTTCAATGATTATGGATGAGACTGGGACAGAGCAAAGAACTTGGATACCCAGATTCTCTGAGTCAGTACTTTGGTCACTGAGCTGGCCAACATCAAAGTAGTGGAGTAAAAGGGAAAAAGCCCAAAGCATAAGGAACTTAGAAACTTTGTTTTGATGGCTACAGCAGGGAGGAAGAACGCACTTGCAGAAACAGTTACCTTTTTGTGCTGAAATAAACAAGCATCCAAACAAAAAAACACAAAACAATCCCTGCCCCCTATTCCTTTGAACCGTCAGGGATCACATTTACCACCTTCATCCTCTGGTTTGTATCTGGGGAAAGGTGGCCGCAGCTCGAGAGCAGCTGTACTCGGCAATGACAGTAACCAAGTAACAAGAGGCCACTTCTCCAGCAATCATTTCAAGTGCCCCACAAGCACGACATCAAAAAGAAAGCCTTAAAAACACAGACATGGGTTACCTTACCCCTCTCAAGGACTCATCAAATCCCAACAGACGGGCCCACGGGAGAGTCATTTACAGCCTCTGAACCAGGCAGCCGTACGACACTTTGTTCCCTCGGACCACGCTCTATTTGACCTTCCCCACCAAAGAGCAGCTCATGAGGAGCTTACAGAGGAGGCTCCAGGATTCTGAGCATCAGCTAACACGAGTGCTTTTTATTTTGTGGTCACCCAGTCAGACATTCGTTAGTTGTAAATATGACCCATCTTAGTCAGCGGATCACAGCCAGAGTTATTTATGAATCCAAACTGAGGTCTTTACACGCCGCTGCAACGACAGAAAAACGATTCCCCTTGTCCTTAACTCGAGGCTGGCACGACACGCTGCCTCGCAGCCGCACCGTGAGGAGGCGACCCCAACCCCTGGTGCAATGGAAACCTGCTTCCCAGGGAGACTCTTGGAGCACCAGGGAACCTTTGCACTTTACCTCTGTACAGAAGGGCGTAAGCTGGGGATGCACCACAGGCTGAACATACATGTGAAAGGTGGATTCGATCTCCATCGTCCTGCCATTCAGCTTCAGGATAGGGAATTCGATGATTTCCTGAATAGGGCAAAAAGAAAAGCAGCTGTTCATTTAAAACAAACAAAAAAATGAAGCTGGAAACCATCCCTATTAGCAAGCTGGCTGTAAAAAGAGGGGCCGGACAGTCCAGAACAAAAACAAGCCTGACATGAAGCTCTGCACTGTGAGGGGGGAAGGTGGTGGGGGAGCAGAGGGCACATCCACGGCCAGGAGCACAGAGGAGGATGGTGCTGATGCTGTCTGCAGTTGGGACATCTCTGTGCTCAGAGCAGTATCCACACACACCACTGCCTAAGCCGAACCCCAGGAGCAGGGTCCAGCACCACTCGCACACGCTGGCACCACCCAAGGAACACGAAGGTGCCCTTCCAACGGGCTCCCACCTATTTAGCAAGGACACCCCAGGGGCTGTGCCCTCCCAAAAACCAGTCCCACCCTCTCCACCACACTGTCTTTGGGGAGGACACCGCCAGAAGACAACAAAGCTACTGCAGGAAGCACCTCCTTCCCAGGAGAGGCTGGAACTGAAGTTATCAGGAGCATTGCTCTCCTCCGACAGAGAGAGGAGAGGAGCTGGAAGCCCCCCCTCCACAAACCCCATCCCTATGGAATACAGCACAGTAGCAAACCCTGCTTCATTTTCCTCTTTGTAGCCAATTTATGCTGATAGGGAAATAAAAACGTTCTTCATCCAAAGAATGTTCAATTATTTGAATAATCAGCAATCAAAAATTTACATGGACCTGTTAATAAAAAGTTTAAACAAATCCAGTTGCGATGGATTTCTCAATTATTAAAAAATATACATGAAATTAAAAAAGCCACCCACTGAATAAAAGCGATAAAATCCTTTGTGTTCGCCCCCCTCCTTCCCCACTCCCTCTCCTCCTTCCAGTTTAATGTAAGAGGAGAAGTAACAATTTGTTTGGTGTCTTTAAAGAATAATTTGTCTATGTTATTTAATAGAGATGCATGGCACCGAGGTTCTGGAGTGCAAATGAGCCCGCTGAGTGATATCCATGCAACAAGCCTCTCAAATCACTTCTGGAGAGAAACAGAGAGAGGGAGAGAGAATAAAAAAAATATTGCTTTTTAATATTCAAAAACAGTTTGCAAAATTTAATCAAAGCAGAGCAAAAGCTAACATTTTTACCACTTTGACATTTTTATTAGCGCTTTCATAAATTTTTAAAACATGAATGGAATTAGTTTAACAACAAAAAAAATTGCCTGAAAACATCTGGAAGAGACAAATAAGAAATAATAAAAAATAAAAAAAAAAAATATCCAACTCCTGCGAGTAAAATTAGCATGTGGAAAATGCAGCCGCTGCAGAGGAACTAAGACAGCTTTTGGACCCTGGCTGCAAACCCCACGACCCGCAGGCGGAAATTATCGTGAGGTCATACGCATGAGCTGATGACATCACCACCCCAGCAGGCAGAGGGAGGGCAAGAGGATGGGTGGGTAAATGGAAACAACAAATAATTTAAATAACCGGGAGAAATACCCAATTTCCATGGTGGTCAGAGCCCATGGCACAGCAGAGCAGCTCCCAGGAGCAGCGGGCACACAGCTCAGACCAGGGCACGTGGGGGGCACGTGCTGCTGAGATGAGAAGTTAGTAAAAATAAAAAATAATAAAATAATTAAAATAAAATAAAGTGTGAACAGTGCTGAAGTGGCCAGGTGTAGACACCAAGCAGTGTAGCTGCAGAGGACACAGTGTTTAACCGTTACCCCACAGTCAGCTGTGCCACGCTTGGTGTGTGCCGTGGAGGCACATCCTGCCCCATGGCCATACCACCCCACCAAGGGGGGAGTCACCAAGTTTCCCAAAGAAAGAGCTGAAACTCCATCTGTGGGATGGAAGGGCAGGAGGACACAGAGGCAAAAACACCTGAGCATCACTCCAAATCACCTCTTGTGGTGCACCCAAACTCACCAGCTTCAGCCCCCACGGGAAGACAAGAAAATCTGTGTAAGAACCACTGGACACAGCTGATTCTCCCCTCAAAACAACTAACCACACGTAGGCTTGGAAAGCAGCAAATTCCCGTTCAGAAAGAAAATGAACCCAAAAGTTTGAAGCCAATGGACAGGACGGTGTAACAGAGCCAGGCTTAACTCCAGGGTATCACCACCCCATCCTTCAAAGCGGGCTGGGGTGGTTCGTTGGCCCTTCGGTCTGCATCCCACCCAGGGGTGACCGTGGAGGCAGGGAAGCCCATGGCAGGGCAAGATGAGCGTTCCCTCTCCCGGAGAGGGACACGCACTGGCTGGATTTCACAGCAGGGCTGCGTTGCCACGCCGAGATGGGTCCTAAGGGACCAGAAACATCCTCAGGGGCCATCAAGTGGCTGGATGCAAAGCGAGACTGAAAGCCAGCCCCGCCGCTGATCTGATACACAAAGGCGGCCCTCGCCCTCCAGAACCAAAGGCAAAAAAAAGCACTTCCAGGAGGGTCAGATTAAGGCAGAGGGAGGAAATAAAAACCGGTACTAAAAAAAACAATGTGGAAAATTTAACAATATTCAGAATTACTGCAGGACTGCGGGAAGCACGCAGCCAGGAGCGGGGGTGACACCCCAGGAGTGACTTGAACGTCTCAGGAGAAATCGCAGCCTCTTGGGCTTATTTGGTCAGTTTTTGAAGCAAGTGGTAAAGGACCTTTCCCAAAAGGCTGTTTATCTGCACGCTTCCTATAGCGGAGATTTTTTCCAGTCTCTGGCAGTGTTTGCTCCACTGGTATCTAAGGCAACAGATACCAGCCCCATGAAATCAGCCCCACTCCTCACTAACGACGTTAGCCAGTCCTGCAATGAAATTTAACCTGTGACACTGCTGTACTTTTCATTTAAACTTTCATTTGGAGAGAAGCAGTGTTTGGAGACCCTGCAGTTTGTCCTGCTAATAAAGACAAGTGTTGGGACCTTTAAAGGTGCCATTCATCTTTTGCCTTTATTAAATTCAATTTTCTTAAGCCCATGATACATCATGAAATTAAGAGTTGACATTCCTGCAGAAACAAAAATATCTATCAAATATAAACAGAAAGGGGAAAAAAAAAAAAAGAAAAAAAAGGCCTCTATTACCAAGAATTTATGGCTTAAAGTTGATCTGTTTCCACTTTTTTTTCTTTTTTTACAAGCATATGGTTTGTTTTAGATATCCAAAATGTTATTACAGATCTAGAATTTCATTAGTAATTATTATGAAATGGTGAGCACTTAGAGACACACACACACACACCACCCCCCAACAGAGGGTGATGCGGGAAGGCAGCCGGGCGCTCTCTCACGTTTCACAGCAGCCCCGTGAGCAAAACACACTCAGCACCATCTCCACCTCCACCGCCAAGGACCTTCACTGCTTCTACCCAGGTGGGAAAGGTGGAGATGAGCAGCACAAGACAATGAAAAGGAAGACGTTCACTGACATCTCTTTTATCAGCATCTGATCATCCATAAGTGCTACCTTGAAATCATCACCCATTTCAATTTCCATTTCCAACACTGAGCACATGTTCCAACTTCAGCAGTGATTTGTGCCAGCAACATTCTGGGCTTCTAAGTCGCCCCCCAGCTTTTCCTTACATCGGAACCAGAAGTTATGGATTTGCTGAAATAATGCGGAGGGTGTCCAGGGGCTGCAAATAGCCGTAAGCTACCAGAAGAACAAATGTACCCATTTGAATTTTGTGAGTGCTGCAATTAGGTATTTTATTTAGCACTGCAAAGTAACTTGAAAGGAAATCCAGGATTCAAACCACCAGCAATAAATAAGAGGCTTTTTATTTTCCTTTCATTGTCATGAAAAGTTGAACATGTTTTCTGTTGAGAAATTCTGCACGCGGCTCCCAATTACAAGGCATTTGCATTTATATTGTTGGAACACAGAGCTTCTAAAATCAATATTAACACGCTTAAAGAAAAAGACATCGGCACCCTGTCCCTCCCCTCAGCTGCGCCCCCAAACACGGTAACAATAGGAACCTACAGAGCCGCAGGCTTATACATATCCATTACCAGGTCCACTCTCTTTACAACAATCTTGCATTTATGATTTCACGGTACTTCAAGCAAATCTGTGTGACAGCTCGCTCAGAATTTTTGCCTTAAAAAAAAAAATAAAATCGTCTAATGAAACTACATTCGATGACAGGGACAAATGTCCCCTGTGGCAGAAATGGTCTGAACTTCTTGTAAGCCAGTCTGAGGTACGGGAGACCTGATTAGGTTGGGGTCGCAGCAGGCCAGGGAATGCCCTTTTTTCATACTTGCTGATGTTCCCTCCAGAGAGTTTCTCTGAAAGAGAAAGTAGTGAACTGAAAGCATTGCAAAAAAAAAAAAAAAAAAAAAAAAAATTTTCCCAAAAAAAAAAAAAAAAAAAAAAAAAAAGAGGTCCCATTTACCCATCCAACCTGGCTGTCCCAGGCCAGTGGGCTGAGCAGCAGCAGGGGGCTGCAGGGTAACTGCGGAACGGCCGAGGACTTCCTTTTAAGAGGGATTTGAAAAATTCATAAGGGCATGTGAAAGCACTGCTATAAACCCAGTCTTTCCCTCCCCAACAGTCCTAAATGAAACTCCTCTCCCTCTAACGCCGGGCCAGCGATGTACAAATTCAAATAAAAGAAATGAACAAACACACAGCTATATTTGCTAAATAATTTTCTGTAACGGATAGATCTCTGGAGTTCAGAGAAGAAAGCACCTGAAGTTACACTAATTCCCACTGAGGAATCTTTTTGGCTTATTTTGGATCTGGGGAGCACTGACATCATTAGACGAAAAAAATACAAAGCTCAGCGAGAACTTCCTAGCTCTCAAAACCTTTTAATCCAGAAGCCCACATGCAAAGTGGACAGGGCACACTTCAGGACATTGATTTATATATTTGAGGAAGACCGTGTGGTGACAGCTCAAAAGCTACCAGAGAATAATTTATCCCTTACGCCCACCCCCATGTGAAGAAGTTTAATAAACACAAGAATAAAAGATGCCCATAAAAATCAGAGC